TATTTTTTTTGTACTGAGGGTTGAATGTGGAACCTGGCACTTGCGAGGCAGCTTATCACTATTTATGTAAATTTGCTCAGGCTATGGCTTTTTAGGATCTCTATTTTTTTATTTGTGATTGCACTGAGATTGTTAATCTCTTCCACATTATATTGCTGCTTTCTGGCCATGTTAACGTCCTCTTGCCAACTTGAACTTCAGGCTTTGCTGCCTAAAGACAATTTAGTTATCTTCTATTACATAATGCTTACAAAATTTCCATGTGAAAATATGAAAATTAGGAGATAGCAGAAAATACTATGAAAGTAGGAGACCTCTTTTTCCTTCCTTACACTCAAAATCCTAAGTCTGTAAATGCCTGTTAGCAACTACCTTTAAAGAAAGAAGGATGACCAGCAAAGGCTTTAAGAAGAAATTTCTCCTTACCTGGTGGGCCACGAGCTCCTTTGGGCCCAGGTGCGCCTGGAATTCCTTCATCTCCCTTTTCCTGGTATGCATCATAATATTCTGTCTTAAAGAAAAAGAAAGTGAATAAATAGGATAGCTGTTTATGGTTTGCTCACCAAATGTAATTACTTCAATTTCCTTATTTTGGCCAAAAAGATACTTCTTTTTGCTGAATCCATAGCTTGGCAGAAATATGATGGTCATATACATATAATTGGATACATTTAAGGATAAATTTGACCTTTCTGTTATGACATGGTCCAGCTCACATATTTATATGTATACACACATATACTTAAATATATATTTCTCAAAACATTAACATCTTTATAACATATGATCAAGTCTGATCTTTTTTTATTCTATTCTACTTAACTGTTTTAAAATGCTTGGCCAGGGATTTAACTCAGTAGTGTCACCACCTGCCTCACAGCTCAAGGTCCTGAGTTCACTCCCTGATGCCATAACAAATAAAATGAAATGCTGGTCTTGATAGACTAATTTTATTTCAAAGTACAGTGAAACCCACGCATCCACAAGTAATGTGTACATTGTTTAACTTTCAGGACACCACTGCCTACAAGAATCAAGGAATATTGGTTCTGACATGCTCAGTGGATCTACTGTTGGTCTCCTTAACCATTCACGGCCTAAGCAGAAGGGCTTTTGAAGTTCAGAGAAGCTACAAACCAAATTATATTAGGATTGAGCATAAGAAAACACACAGTAAACTAGGAATGAAAAGAATTCTTTTGAAGTACAATGGCAAGTAGAACCCAGTGCATTCATTTTGAAGGAAAGAAGAAACATGCAGTTTTTCCACTCTTACTTTTCTTCTGTTTCATAAATCAATTGCTTTGTTGATTTATCACAAAGAAACACCAATAATGACGACATAACAAGGTCTAACACAATACCCACAATGGTATGTGTGTGCCCACCAGGTGTTGGGCATTGCTCAATGAGCTTTCATAAAAAAGCCCATTTAATCTTCCTGGCAACTCCACACAAACATTTTGAGACTGCCTGCATCTGAATCATTTTCTTTCAGTATAAAGATACAGATTTTTTGGGGACTCTCCTTTAGTTAGTGAGCTAAATTACCTAGCTTAGAGTCTGAGAACTGCACTGTTAATGAGACACTCCCTCTTTCCACCTTCACCCAAGATTTTTCTTGTCATGAGCCCTTTCCCCCAACCTGCATACTCAGGGGCAGCAGCTCTGCTCAGTATGCTGAATGTGACTCACACTCTCTTTTGAGACAGGAGATGAAGAGTTTCCAGAACTGCAAGCCTGGGTCCCTTTCCTTCCTTTCCTGAAGCTATGCAGCCAAAGAATAAATGTGTCCTGTCTGCAGCCTGCCCTGGGGAGAGGCACACTGCCTCCTACAATGGAGCCTGAGCAGTTCTTGCTGACCCTGCACTAAAACCATGGCCGAGCTTCAGCTGCCTGAAAGTGCAAGAGTTTTCATAACTGGGCCCAGCTGAAAGGGAGGAAGAATGGGTCTCACCCCTGTGCACCTTCAATAGCAGCCTCCTGACTCCATCCCAGGGTACAGGACCATCTTGGGCCAAACCTGTTTAGACCAAGCCTTTCTCCTCCAGAGCCCAAGATGGTATTATAGGGCCTTCCATGGGACAAATGAAATCAAATAGAAATATTTGCCAAATGGACAAATAGTGACAACAGCTATTTTTTTTTTGCTCTTGTTTGATAAAAAGGTAAATACTATCAAGTCTATCACAACAATAAGAAACACTGATTCAAAGCTTCTTGTACACTTTGAAGGACTTAATCAAATATGACACTAGTCTTATCTCTAATTACACTTACTGGACCACGAAATCCTGGAGGGCCAATGTCTCCTTTCCATCCCTACATTGAAAGACAGTTACAAATTATGAATGCATAACACAGAGTATTTACAAGTTTGGTGTAGTTAGAAAGCAAAACGCACAGTTGAATAAGAAATCCTAAAATTAGGGTTGTTTAGGTACAATGGACAAGCAAAATTAGAGGAACATTGTCTTTATTTTATTGAGGAGCCCACATCTGGGTCAGGAATCCTATCTATCAGGTTGTAGAGAAGAGGTGCTGTTGCTGGGTCTGCGGGTTCCCCAGGATTCTTCCACCCCACCCGCTTTACTGGAGTGGCACACGGCACATCTATGTTCTGAGATTAGAGGACAGGAAAGCCATGTCCTGAGTTGTGTGCAACTCCCTATGTCCCAGCTGTAATCAACCCTCCCCCATTTTTTTTCAAGAGCACACTCCAGAATTCTACTGGAAGTGACACTATTTAAACAATAAACTTTGAATCAATGCATATATCTACATATAGAAATTATGTGAAAATGTACCATGTTGTTAGAAACAAGTGATGGTGGAACAGAATTCACAATTAATTGATCATGTTCAGAGATTCATGACCCAGGTTGAGATTCAGTGGTTCTGCCTATGCTTGACCTCAAAAGACCTGGAACTTCCTGCCATGGCAAGCCTTTTCCAACTCTTCTTCATGGAGTGTGGAAACCTCACCTGGGTCCTAAGTCAGCCAGCTTCAATTACACGGAATGAGTTTAGTATCTTTCCATCTTTCCCCTTGCCACATCTTTCCCTTCTTCTTAAACACGCTAATGTTTTGAGGTCTTCGATTCAATTCCTCATCCCCAGGAAGAAAGGCAATTGAAAACAGATAGGATGTTAGGAAGGGTATTACCTTAATGCCATCTTCGCCCTTTAATCCAGGAAAGCCCCTGTTGCCCTTGGACCCCTAAACAGAAGACCAAAAAGAAATGGGTCAGAAGAGACAAATGAATTCCCTCTACCTGAAGCAGGAGCAGACTGAAAACCTTTTAAATTTTTTCAATTTATTTTTTTAAATTGACCTATAATAACTAAACAAATTTATTGGCTCCAATGTGATATTTAAATATACCACATTGGTTACATATATTACATTTCATACTTTATGTACTGATTGAATTAGGGTAGATATAGCCATCATTTATCATTTCTCTGTGGTAAAACATTCAAAATCCTCTTTTCGTAGCTATTTTGAAATATATATTATTAACTATAGACACTCTACAATAGATAATAAATAGATCACCAGAACTTATTCCCTATCAAACTGTAGCTTTCCACCATTTGACCAACATCTCCATATGTTTCTCCCCTACATATGCACCTCCCCTCCTCAGCCTCTGGTAACTACTATTCTAGTCTCTACTTTCATGAGGTAGCACACTCTGTCCCCCTCCCTCCCCCCTTCTCTTCAGTGTTGGGTATTGAACATGGGTACTAATACATGCTAGGAAAGTGCTCCACCACTGAGCCATATCCCTAGCCCCTGACCACTTTCTTTAGATCCCTCATATCAATGAGGTAAGTGAAATTCATTTTTACGAGTCTGGCTCTCCATAAGTTCATCCTTGTTAAAGAATGTGCTCAGATGACCTCTCAAAATTATGATCCTCAAATGTAGTTTTAAAAAGCTATCAACACTTCATTAACTTGTAACTATTTATTGACTGAAAAATCCTTTTCAGACTGCCATTTTCCTTACATCAATGGACTCAGTCAGGCCTTACCTCAGTGCCAGGGAAGCCAGGGGCACCATCTTTTCCAGGTTTTCCCTAAAACAAAAGCAAAACAATAACATATAAGTTAATAAATATGGGTAACCTTAATAAACATGGGGGGACTTTAACAATTGTCTCCTCTTGGTTTCAGGTAAGAAAGATTCCACAAAGTTTTCCTATGAGAAAAAGCCGTGGAGGAAGCACTGACCATCTTACATTAAGGTAGAAGCTAATCAGAGTGGGAAAGCAGAGTCAGAGGAAGGAAGAAAGGGTATAAACAGTTAAGCTTAAATTACTAGAGTCTGTTTTAAGTTTGAAGAGAAGTCAGGGAAGCACTGGGTAGAAAAGTGAATAAGAAAACCTAGAAAGACAGAGGTCTTTATAGTTAATTTATTACTTAATTTGAAATATTTCTAACTGCCCCCCCATCCTGTATTCATACTTTATATGATATGCTGTGGTATGTAAATAGTCATGGCATTTGGATTAACTATTATACTATAAACCATTTCATATAGAATTAAAATTCATGTTGGCTGAATGTTTTTCTTAGGGAAAAAAACCCACATTTTTTCCAAAATATAATTTTTAGAGTTTTTATACAATACATGTATTTAAATACATCCATAATGGAGCTAGGTAAAGCAGTGGGCCTCTGGTGCCTCTGTTTTCCTAGCAGCCCTCTTCTGGTCATACGATGCCCTGTTTCCTCTAGGGACCTCTCTGTTCTCTCCCTCTGGGTGGTCCTGATGGGCTGTCAATCATGGGAACCCACCCACTGATTTGGCCAATCAAATCATCTTTTCCTTCTGGCCACAGCATTGTTCCAAAATGAAACATACTGCAAGCCAAACTGGGATAATCAGTTTAATTCTCTGAGGTGTTCTATAAAGACACAAGGAGAAAGATGCTCTCTCCCTCTGCTCAGATGTCTAAAGTTGTCTGCCATTATGCCTCATTCTCTCTCCCCTCTCATGGAAGACCATCCACCAAAGCATGGAATTACGCTGTCAAGAAGAGAGAGAGGAAGTGGAGCGAGCCCTCTCCCTGTGGTTATAGGCTCTGAAGTCTTTTAAGCCTTTTTCAGTCTTGAGCTTCTCAAATACTTGAACAAATACATTTCATTTCTCAAACTTTTTTTAAAATTACTTTTTACTTAGGCTAGTTGGAATTCAGCATCTCATTCTTTCAATCTGAAAAGTCTTAAGGCTAGGGATGAGCCCACGGGTAGAACACTTGTCTTGCACAAGGAAAGCCCCGGTTCTATCCTCAGCTCAAGGTTGAGGGTTTAGGGGGAAGGAGGGTTGGGGTGGTCATGGGGAGAAGAGTCCCAACTAGTCAGGGTGCACGTAACACTGGATTTGCAAATACCTGTGCACCATGTTCTCCAGGAGCACCCTTCTCAGAACCACACAGCTTGCCTGCCAGTCCCTGTGAGAAATAGAATTATGTCAGGTTTTATAAATTGTTGATTTTTTTTACTCATACTGATTTTTATTAATTTGCTTCTTCTGATTAATCTGTCATATTTAAAACTAAGTCATCTAAAAGAGAGCTCTTACTTATGAATACTACTTTTAAAACAGGTAACAAAAGCAGGTACTGAATATGTCATGCACGTAAAATAGTGCAAGGATTTGGTTAGAAATACTTACAAAATAATTTTAGTATACTCATAACCTCCATAGTCAAATGTAAGCATGCTTTAGCAAATACTGAGATTGAAAGGTAGTGCATGCATCAAAATAGGTTCTGAGATTCTATTTGGGTGTCACAGGACCAATATGACTCTAAGTGACCTACCAGGGGTCCAGGAGGTCCTGGTTCTCCCATGGCTCCTTTGTCTCCCTTCTCCCCCTTGAGTTCCTGTTGTAAAAACAATTCAAGGTCATCGCAAACAAACTAATCAAACAAGATTATGCTGATTACACTTAGAAAAGTCCTTTTCCTGTATATCCAATGGATTTACAAACTACCAATGTGCCTCAGGATAAGACAATCCAAAAGTGCTTCCTGTTTCTCACATTTCAAAATTTTATACATAAAGTCCCATTAAAATCATATACAAACTTTTTCTTAAAAAGAAAGTATCTTTTGGACCAAGCTACATTAAACACTAATTTAATTCCCTAATTGATTTTCTATAATCACAATCGAACTATTTCTACATTATTTTATTTTCATTTCTAATATACTACAAGTATTCTCATTGGGGCCAGTGATTTTCTGTGCAAATGCTAGAACAATGATTTTGTGCGATAATCAAATTTGTTTGAGCCATTATTTTTATTTTTACATTTTTGTGGTACTAGGGATTGAATCTAGGCCCTCATGCATGGTAGGCAGGTGCTCTATCACTGAGCTACAACCCTAGTCCATTTATTTATTTATTTATTTATAAACACACAGTTTTTAAATTTTTTTTACAATTGAGTTTATTGGTACATTTTAGGGATACAGTACAGTTACATTCATTGTTGGGATCTTATACCTCTACATGACAGGTCTTGGTTCTCCTTTTTTTCCCTTGTCCCTGCCCTCCCTTCACCCCCTCTTCCCCTCCCCATTTACAAACACTTTATTTCCATTTTTTCATTTTCTCACACTTTTTTCTTTTCCCTTATTACCCTTCCCCTACCCATCCCACCTTCCCTACACCTTTAGCTCCTTTCTTCCCATTTCACAATATTTCTCACACTTTTCTTTTCCCTTATTACCCTTCCCCTACCCATCCCACCTTCCCTACACCTTTAGCTCCTTTCTTCCCATTTCACAATGTCAGTTATTTCATTAGGAGCTTATGTACTATTACAGTTTATTCACACCAGAGAACAGAGTCTTTTTAAACTGCTCTGACTGGCCTAAAACTTTCTATCCTTCTTCCTCAGCCCCCTGAGTTGCTTGGATTAAAGTGTACCACCAAGACCAGGCTTTTTTCAGATTTTATTGATTATATTTTTCCCCCAATGGCAGTCTTCCCTTGAGGATGCTATTTTTCCCAAACTCAATTATTTTTCCTGAGTCAAACTTTAAGACTTAGACTTTGTAAGCATGAATGTTCTTTTTTCCTACCATTTTTTTAGATAATGAAGTTTTAGGCTTTATTAAATTCGCTTTTGCCAACAGCTCTTGAAAACTTTAGTTATATTCCTGAAACTCATCTTTTCCTGGTCTTCAATGTAAGTTATTATTTTGGTTATATCCAATTTTACCATGTTTTGCTTTAAGTCCTGTCAGTTTTGCTTTGATCAGTTGTATCCAGAGGGAGGGTGTGGTAGTGATAGTTACTGAGTTTCTTTTTGCCACAATGATGTTTTCTAAAATTGTGGTTATGGCTGCCCAACTCAGTGAATATTCTAAAAGCCACTGAATTGCACAGTAAATGAGCAAAATGTATGACATGTAAATTATACCTCAATAAAGTTGCTAATAATTAGTTGTAACAAAGACCCATGAAATGTACACTTTAAAAGGTGTAATTTACAGTGTTGGAACTACATTAAGCTACTATTTCAAGAAATTGCTATCATCTTAAAAGAGAAAGATAGTTTGTATTTATTTCTTAGCTTATCCACAAGAAGATTGTTAGCTACCTCTCACTTTCTCATCCACCACTCCTCAGATGTGATAGGGTTATTCTTGGGTAGGATTGGTGCCTGATACCACAGATTCATTTTTTTATATACATACGATTATGTCACCTATCCTGGCCACCCCACTGTGCAAAAAGCAAATGTTAATGTCAGCAGAAGAGGGCTGTCATGTTCTTGGTAAGGAATGGGACCAACAAGTCTTTGGGGTTACAATGGAAAGGCAAAAATGTCCCCTTTGATTATGACATCCTTTGACCTCCATCTTGAGGTCCTTATCACCCAGTTGGATCAGAGTCACACACTGTACACTAGGGACAATGAAGGGGAGAGGGACGTAAGGGTAAACAAAATCAAGATCAGGTTCTGACTCTTCCAAGAGTCCTGAAGTCACTTGTCTCAGAGCTTCTCCATCTAACATCTCCAGGTCGATGGTCAAAGGACAGGGGAGAATTAAAACCTAGAGGTTAATGGGGCTGGTACCAAAAATAAAATAAAATAAAACCTAGAGATTCAGGCCAACTGAGGAGCTGGGCTGAGTGAGGCTTAGAAGACAGATCATAAAGTAGGTAAGAGGTCCCCAGGACTTCGGCCTAGAAATTGAAAAGCACGGTCTTCTTGTACAACTATAGCATTACCGTTTTGTTATCTGGTCCAGTCAGTGTCACAATAACTGTTCCTGGTGGTCCTGGGGGTCCTGCTAATCCTTTGACACCCTGCAGATAAATAAACCCAAGAATGAAAAACTAAGCATCAACATTGCAACACTGCATTAACTATGTTTGAAATATCAGCTTTTCTCTTTCAGTTCTTAGGCGAGAAGAGAGAGAAAATGAAAATGCTAATTTTACTTTGGACAGGAAATAAACCACGCAGACTGACACACTCTAGCACACTATGACACACTGAAACTAAAGTTTCTTACCCACTGGAAAACTCTAGTATGTAAATTACCTGCTGTCCTTTTTGTCCTACTACATTATCACCCATGTGACCCTGTAAGAAAATACAAAATGATATTTTAAAAATATGATTAGTCTAAGCCCTTCAGAGTTTCAATATTTTTAACTGAACATTTATATTTGTCTCAACTTTAGAAATATAAAAGTTATTTTAACTCTTTTTTGAGTACAGCCGAAACTTGTATCTTTTAAATGTGGAAACTTTGAGGGCAGAATGCTTACAAGATTTATTTAATATGGCAGTGAGGTGGTATGAATTGTTGATGAGGCCAGGAAAGGAACCCAGGGAACATTTTCCTGGCTCAGTGGGGAGCTAGTTCTAATCCCACCTGTTGGCCACTTCCTGATGATTACTCAACCTCCTGGTTACTTAACTTCCTTAACTCATAACTTAACTTCCCAAGGTCCGAATATTCCCATCCTAAAAATAAGAGGGATGGGTAGCCACATTTCAGGGTTCTGAAATTGAAAACTCAATAGAAAAGCTAAGAATGCAATTCAAACTGTCCGAGTTCACTAGTGTTTTAGTGGCAGGAGACATGGGTAAGGAGAACAGCTTCTCCTTGCTAGTGTTGGCTGCTGCTGCGCTTGGAAAGACTCCACCTCAACTCATGTAGACATGCGATCCTTATGACAAGGTATTATGAGGTAGGGCCAGGACCATTAAGGGGTTAGTGGACTAGCCGGTTGTCATGGGAGTGGCTTTGCTATAAAAGTGAGCTCTCTGTCTGGCGAGGTCTTGCATGCCCAGAGGACTCTGCACATGGCCCCCATCCATCCACAAGAAGGCCCTCTTTTAGATATGGCCCCTCAGCAATGGCCTTCTTAGCCCCCAGAACTGTCAGAAATAAATCTTTTTAAACAAACTGCCCAGCCTGTGGTATTAAGTTATCGACTAAGACAAACAGACACCCATCACTTCAAAATCTTTTTGTTGCCCGGTCTGCCTCCTGACCAGAGCTCTGCAGTCAGCCATGCTTTCTGTCCAGCAGAGAGTCTTTACAGGGGGTCACCAAAGAGCTCTGCTCCCTCTCTCTCCCCAGCAGCTGTCTGCTCAGAGTGCTGACACTATGAATCAAGCTTCAGACGCTCTGTTGCATGGAAGGAGGTTGGAGCAGCAAAGGGTGGTGCAAGCCCATGGACGCCACTGAACTCTACCCCAACTGCCTCACCTTCCCCCTGACCTGGACATGGAGCCTCTGAGGCCCCTTAGGATCTCACTATAGTTCAGGCTTGCGTGGAACTGGCTATGAAGACCAGGCTAACCTTGATCTCACAGGACTCTTCCTGCCTCAGCCTCCCATGTGAAACTTATCTTTTTATGGTGTTTACGGTGCCTGCAGTAGGTGAAGGTTGTGTTCACCAAGATGAAGAACGCACTGGTGCAGATGGTGGTTGGGAGCCAGGCCCAGCTGGCCATGAGTCACGTGAGTAGGCACAAGCTTCACAGGAAGCCGATCTGAATCACGCTGTCTGAGCACCAGAATGTGCAGATGCCAAGGGAGGACCAGGGAGATCAGGGCCACACCAAGAATTAAGGCAACCCGCCCCCCCGGTGTTACTTCAAGAAGTTGGGGTCCAGAAGCTTCCAGAACATCTTCCTGCCATGCCCTCTGCCACGCTGTACCTCCCCAACATCCATCGGCCCATAGGAGGAGGAAGACCTCAAGTGCCTCCTCTCCAGCACTGGGGTGTAGTGAAGGGCTTCGAGTCCTTCCAGAAGGGCCCGCGGGGGGCAACCCACACCACAGTCAACTTTCTTGTGCCTTAACCTACCTGCTTCGTGGCCACTCCTCCCACTGGCAAAGTGGGGCCCAGGCTGGGCAGCGACCTCCGCCTCAGCTTGGGAGCCCTTGTAATCTGTAGCATGCTCCCTTGTGCTGCAGATGCTGTGCCTAGCAATGTCCACTTGACCACATAGTCTAATCTGTTTTATTTATATGCAATAGTTCTAAGTAACTTTTTATAGCAAGATGATACAATGCTATGAGTGTAATTCCTCCCCCTCCAATTTTTTTGTTTTGTTTTGTGCCTCTGAGGAATGCAGATCTTCTCCCTACTGGCCTGGAAGAAATATAGGAATAAAAAGGCTTGAAGCCTCAGCTCTGCCTATCATTGATTCCAAACCTACCCGTCTCATAGGGAAGGAATGGCAAACCTTGTAGAGACCGAGTGCCCAAACTGCAAGCCGAAACTCACTTATTTATGGCAAAGTGCCAATACTGCGCCTGTGTCTGTTGTTATTCGATGCTTGACTGCTGGCGAGATGTGGGGCAGACTTGGCTGGTGTTCCCACAGAGAGGCTCTGTGTGCCCACTGTGGCACACATGCCGCAGGTTTGACACCACTGTCATAGGTTTTGTGGGTGTGCGTGTATACGTACAAGTGTCAGTGTGTGTGTGTGTGTGTGTGTGTGTGTGTGTGTGTGTGTGTGTGTGAAAGCACTTTGGTAGTACCCTCTGCCTCAGTTCCCTAATAGTAAGAAATACTGTGGTTAGTAATAATTTCCTTAAGGGCCCAGCCTCACTAGACATTTTTATCCTCAAACAATTAGGCTTTTAAATAGAGACACATGAAGTGCCCAGCTTAATGAGCACGACAGCCATCTTTTATTTATTAGCATAAGATCAGGTGGGTTTTACACAAAAATTGATAGCATAAAGTGCTGGGTAAGCAGTAGGATTATCCGAAATGGAAAACCTATGGGTTAGGAATCTTTGCCCTTTCCCCTGATACTCAATTTTTCTATTTGAATTAATACTCTGTGTCAGGGATCCTTTCTCTGTTGAGAGGCATTATGAGCCCCAGAGAGGGGGGAGCAGTGATCCAGCTAGAGAAGCAAGTTGGCTTTTGGGTTGGTCAGGGCGTTTAGACTGATAGAATATGTGAACTGGGACTTACCTTAGGTCCTGCAGGCCCCCTAGCTCCCGGAAAACCCTGGAAAATCCCACAAATTAAAATTACAGCAGCAAGCATACGCAGTTGGAAAACTCTTTAAAAATGTTTTGCTATTATTAATTTCTCTAGAATCAATAGCAATGATGACGTTATACTCACAAAGAGTCCCGGAGGACCAGGAGGGCCAGCGGGCCCGGGAAAACCTGGTGGGCCTGGAAAACCCTTGAAATTAAGAGAAAAATAAGAGTATGTTTTAAATGTACTTCTCACCTAAGGAAAATATTCATTAGTGAAGTGCATCAAAACATCTTAATAAAATCAGAAGAACATAATGCCCTCTCTTCTAAGTGGCTGCATTTAATTACAAAAATATGCCATAAAGTGTGTTGTCAAGAGTAGTAGTTGCCAGGAGCATCCTGATACTGCTGTTTTCAGGAAAATGATCAGGGCAGTTGCTTTACTTTAGAATGTTTCAAAATTTTGCTTTCCCTATTTTCTCTCTCTCCCTGTTTTAGCCAAGCATGATCTTCTCTTAGTCCCCCCATCCTCCTTCCCCAGATATCTGTGTGGACTCACTTCCTCTCCCTTTTCTTATCTTTATGTAGTTGACCTCCTTCCCATGAAGCTTCTCTGGATATCAAAGATGTGACTCACCTTCACATCCATACTCTTGCTATCTCTTCTACCCTACATTAATTTTCTTCTTTGCATTCATGACTGCCTAACACACTGTAGAATTATTAATTTACAGTTTTTTTTCTGTTTTCCCAGTAGAATATAATCTCCATGAGGGTGAGAATTTTTTGAAGATTTTTTTTGGCTGATTTATGTTCCATAGTATCCTTAGAGCCTAGAAGAAAAAGTCCTTGCCACATAATTGACATCTAACTAAGATTTATTATATATCTTTATATCCATTCTGCATAACCCTAGGCTATATATAGATAGATTAGGCAAGCAGTCTATTTAAGGTAGGAAAGTTGTATTTAAATAAACTCCTTTTATTTAATATTATGCCAGCTTTGAAATAAGACCATTATTAACCAGATATTGAAAATGGTATTCAATGTCTGATACTGATAGAGAAAACCTATATAAATATCAAAAACCTATGAAATGTCACACACAATGTAGAATGGCTTCTGCTATCTCTAACAGCAGTTTGCTTTCTTTAGTTCAGATTTAACAGACACTGGGGGCATTAACCACTGAATGAGGCATCTGGTCTCATCCTGAGATAACAGAGCACATCAAGACCCTGAGCTCCAAAGTTCTGTAAACTACAAGTTTGTAAAAGAGTCAAGATGAAAAGAACCATTGTTAACTTTGTTTTTCTGACTGGGAACACCCCCTTCCTATGCGGGAGGATAGATAGGCAAATCTTCAAGGAAAATTCCCCTAACAACAAAGAATTGCTACATCTGGGTTGAAATTTAACTGTCTTGTGACCATGATTTGTAAATCAGCAATGTGAACTGAGAGAATGAAATGTAATGAGATCAAGGCTGTAAAACCCCATAAAAGGAGTTGTAACCCAGTGCAGGGTTGATCCTGGCACTGCTTTTAAGTGTGACTGACCTTTGTTGACAAAATAAGCCTTTTCTAATTTTACTTCCATTCTGCTCCTCTCTGCATATTACTTAACCAATTCCTTCCATAACAATATAAACTCATCCTTGATTTCAACAAACACAGATTAAGTGGAATATAACTTCCCTGAAGACTATTTACATTCAGGCATTCAGGAAAGCTTGGGAGAACAACTTTTAAGAAGAGATTGAAAGACATATATACAAAATCATCTTTGCATATCAGCATCATATAGTTTCTTATAAGGTAAATGCTTTAGAATGAAATGAGGCAGACATGTAAAGAAGAATAAACTTGAATATTTGAAATGTTAAAATAGGAAGAACAACATGGAGGAAAGAGAGGGGGAAGAAAAAGAGAGAGAGAGAGAGAGAGAGAGAGAGAGAGATGGGGGCAGGAGACAGGGAAAAGGTTTCTGCCTTGATTGCTGTACCTGGAATCCTGGGAATCCGGGCAACCCCGGGTCTCCTTTTCCATTGAGTTCTAAATCTTCTCCTTCAGCGGGAGCACCCTTGAAAATGGAAACATCTATCAAACTTTATCAACTTTATGTTTTCAAAACTCATTTAAATACTTATTGACAGTCATACTGCCTTAGGGATAAGGCTGATTCTCAGGATACAAACTTAAACAAATAACTTGGAATTTTTCCCCTAGACCAATCTGAAGAATTCAAATCACATCTGCATTTTCTGAGCTAACAATTTAGGAGGAAAGATATAGGGCAAATAAGTCATTTCCCAAGATTTCAAAATTAGTGGCAATTCCTGACCTTGAGTGTGGGTCTCTGAGCATGAGATCAGTTTTCTTCCCCTGGACTCTGTATCCATGAAAGGTGACATAAATATATATCCTTGAGACCCATTTATGACAAGAGCCAGAAGAGCTGTTCAATAGGAGCAATTATCATGTCCTACTTATGAGTTTGGAATTAATAAAGCCTAGATTATGAAATCTGATTTGCAATGGCTTACATATCATTAGTTAATAGCCCTTTTCATACACATGCTTACAATTTTTCAATAATAATAGTTTACAAGTGACTTACCTTTTGTCCTTTCAAACCAGTAGGACCCTAAGAAAAAGAATGCATATTAATAATGAGGTAACTCAAATACCTGCACTCTTATTGTATCCTTCTCTGTTACTCTGCCCTTTCTCCCACTGTCTATTTCCAACTGGCTTTTCAATATTTTCCAGTCTCTTCCTTTAAACAAACCAACAAAATTTCCCCTTATCTCCTGTCCTCACCCCGTACTTCCCTGTCTCACATCTCACCTGAAAATTTCCCATTCTGTTCATCTCCTCCTCATTCCTCATTTCCAACTCTGCCCCCAGCTTCATCCTGCTATGAAATTATCCCTTGCTAAGGTTAGCCACAACTTTGATGTTGCAAAAACTGATGCCAAAATGCCATTTCCCATCTTAGCGGACTTCCCAGTGGCATTAGGCAGTTGCTTGCCAATCCCTCTACTAAAGTGCTGTTTTCCCCTTTTGCCTCTCCTGTTTTATAGGCTCATTTCTTTTGACCTAGATGTTATACGATAGAGCGAAGTCTGGTTCTAAGGCCTTCAAGCTCACTTTCCAGGTGCTAGAATTCTGAGCCTCGCCTCTGAGCAAGCCAGCCTATTAAGCATTTTTTGTCTGAATATCTTGAAAACAAAACAAAATCTTAGAGTTTGCATTCATTCATTCATTCATTAATTCATTCTCTATTAGTCAGGCATCTATTACGGCTACCCCAGCCTTTCCAAGGTCACGGCAGATTTGTGTACATGGCCATGTACAATAAACTGGTTTATTTATACTCTATGTTTATAATGAGGAGTAAGAACTGCAAACCTACTGTGATCCCTGGGTATCCTGGTGTCCCTGGAAGTCCTGGAAATCCTTGTTCACCCTGGAAGACATAAAAAATTTGTCATTAATCTTAGTTGTTCTAGAACAGCGTGTTTACATAAATATCCCCATTTCTCTCTTCCAACCATGCAGTGACAAATCTAAGTAAAATAATTGAGATTCCTTATGGCTACTGGGTCATGAGGCTGAAGGCCAGAAAATTATTATCTTAACTGAAAACAGGATTAGAATCTACTGTTTCTCAAACTGTGCATGAAAGGCAGTCTAATTGTGCCAAAAACTTTTTAATTGCTGCTTCCTTAAAACTTTAGTAATTAGTTCATTCATGGCCACCATGAATGAGAAGAGTTCAGTTAGAAAAAAAATAGGGGTAAGTCAACCTTGAAAAGCTGTCTTTCCTTTCCAAAGACTAATTTTGCACTCAAGGCTTTTAGTTTCTGATTAATATGCACAAACTCTGTTGAAAATAACAAGTTGAACCCAGCCCCCTATTTTCTTTCTGTGGGAAAACTTCCTTAAAATACAATTAGGAAGCAAGGAATGAAGAGAAAGAAATAGGAAGTTCCCTGCTTCAAAATCATATTGCCGATTCAACTAAATCAATGTTTCAAGAAAGAACGTTTCCATCTTGTTGCTATTTTCCCTTGATTTATTGATTTGACAAAGCATGTTTCAATCATGTGAGCAGTGCTTACCTTAGAACCATTGCATCCCGGTAATCCAGGAGGGCCATATGGCCCGGAATGGCCTGGGAGGCCCTAAAAAGAGAGCAAATCTCAAAGCCCAGGCAAAAACCACAAGGCTGGGGAGCAGAAAAACCAGTTAGGAAACCAAGGGAATATATGAACTTAACTAAACAGCTACTGACACATAAAGGGTGTTTAGTTTAAATTTAAATTTTGGCTTTTGATATAATTTAACAACTTAAATAGCACAGCAAATCAGACAGACTAATTGAAATGAAAATTATCAAGTGAGAGATGGATATATGCAGTAAAGCAAAGGTTTTTCTACAGTAACTGAAATCCCTTGACATGCTGCTATAAGGTGGGAGAAAGCAAGGAAGAAGAGGGACGTATGGACAGAGGGTAACTATTTTATTATTCTATGCTATTAAACAGAATCATCTTATTCTATTCTATCTATTCTACTCAATGCTACTCATGTTTCAGGAGATATGATCTAACTCATATGTCATACAAAAACACATTTTAATGTGTCACTCAGGTCTAAGTTGCCATTTTCTTCCTGGAGCAGATATACCAGAACATATTTCTTTGTGCTATTGTTTTAATGTCTTCAGTTGGATGAGCTCACTTTTAATTTTTTTTAGCCACAGATTTTTTTTCCCATTACTTACTGGAAGTCCAGGAGGACCTGAAAATCCTGGTAATCCAGTTATTCCCTAAAAAAAAGAGGAGGAGATGGTAAGAAAAACAGTTCCAAAAATGTTCATTCTGTGTCTATAGTTATTTCCCCTGCAATAATCTCTTCCTGCAGCTATGATTGGGGATGCGTAAAAGTGATTAGAAAAACAGAAAAGGTTTGAAGATCTTTTGTAAATTTGACATTTGTAGAAGTTTTAAAAAGATGTTGTTAAGGTTGACTTTGGCATTGGTGGATAGATTTTAAAGGTATATTTTGCATATAATAAAGTGCTTGCATCTTCTGTGAACAGATTAATGAATATTTATTTGTGCACAATAATTTCCACTGATCCACGGTGACATAGCAACCCCATTACTCAGGAAGCCTTCTTCGTGCCCTTCCTATCAGTCAGCACCCACCCTTAATGTGGTGCCACTATTCTTACTTTGCCCACTATGGGTTCGTTTTACCTGTTTTTGAACTTCATCGAAGGAACCACACTTATACACTTCCTTATTTCCGACATTTGAATAACCTTTATGCTGCAGAGTTGATCTTTTTAAAAGAAGAATGTTCATCAGACAATCAGAATGGACTGGTTGGACTACTAACCCTTACACCTTTGGGACCGGTGAATCCTGGAAGTCCTGGAGATCCCTAGATCCAAGGGAAAAAAGAAGAGGTGAGCACTGTGGAAACTTATTTGGCGCTAAGAAATCCATACATTCACAGCTCCAATCTTAGTCATAGGCCACGCTGCATTGCTCTTGCGGTCGTTTCATTGTTAATAAGGTTCAAGTGCTTGCTTGTTTCGTCTCACAAAAATTTATTCCAGGGCTGAGAATGCAGCTTGGTGGAAGAAGGCTTGCTTAGCATGTGTCAATCTTTAGGTCACCCTCTTTTCTGTGCCCCTACATTTGCTTACCCACCATCCCTATTGATTTAGAATCTGCATTTGTAATGCTATTCTTTGGTGATTTCTTGCACGTTAAATTCTACAAAGCTCTACATCAGCCAGCCAGCTGTTGGGTCCTGATAAGGAACGAATGCCACAATTATAATGGCAGAGGAGAATAACAGTCAGTGTTTCCATGCAGGAGAAACACTTTATTACCAAAAATACTGTATGCCCGACATGCACAAGTAACACAAAATGAGGTAAGGACGGCATGATCCACACATAAACTTGCTCTGGGCACATAATACAGGTTTGAGGCCTTCTTTCTTGGACGATAACCTTAAATGGAGAATATTTCAACTGAACCACTTGCTGTAAAATTTCCACTGTCCAAAAGCCACTGGCATCACGCCAGAGTGTTTCAGTACATTTCGGTATTTTTGATAATCGGAGAAAAGGGTGTTACAGAGTATTCTGAGATAGGACTGTCAAGGCCAAAGCCAGCCTTTCCTGTATGAGGTGGAATTCCTGGCCCCATGGCCACATTCAAGGCTGAGCTTTTTCTTGGCAGGAGGCCGAGTAATGCAGAAGGCAGAAGAGCGGCTTACAGGTTTTATTTCCCCCTTGTAAATTTCCTCACGCAGAAAATATTGAAATTGAGAAAGGAAGCTTATAATTCTGAAAAACCTCTTTGGTCAGGTTTCAGTGTTCTCTAATTGTCTGCTTCAGGTTGAGTTTTGATTCGAGGCAGTGCATATCTATGCACTGTGCTGTAAAATAGGAATTCTATGGCAGCATGACCCAGATTTTTTGGGTGAACTTTATGAAATATCCATGCATTGGTAATCCATCCAAGCACCATGTGCTGACAACTATTATTTTAGTCGATGGCTGGCATCTCTAAAGACAGGGAACAAGCAGAGAAAGAGATAGAGAAGGAGAAAAAGAGGGAAGGCCGATTTAAATCTAGGTCGGAAGTGGTGAGCTCATGAAGTGGAAGGAAATGCCAGGCCAAGCCCCCGAAGGGTGAATGGAATTTTTGGAGTCTGCGCAGAATTGGAAAGACTTTTCAAAATCAGGATCAGAAGCCAAAGAGAAAGAGAATATGTACACCAATGTGACAGACATGGAAACAGGAGAATTTCCCCCAAACAGACACCTTCTGCATTTTTTCCTGCACAATGTTGGTATCAAGAGTTTCATTCTTGTATCGGAAATGTGGTATAAGAAATATTTACATTTGATCTTCTCTTGGTTCCCAGTACATGGCTCCTAAAATTCTTATTTCTTGACTGATAAGGGTGGGAAGAACAGCTTTGGTTCTCATATATGGTCTTTGATTCCACTTACAGACAAAGAGCGCCTAAATTGCTTGGGTTTTTCTGGGGATAGAAACAGCTTTTATTGAGATGAGGCAAACTTGGGGCTCTGGATGGAGGCTGCTTCCCAGAAAGCACCCAATGGGATTTGAAGCTTGGGACTCTCTGCTCCAGTCCCCACCCTTTCGTGAGGGGAGAAGAGCTGGACACTGAGTTAGTAACTAACTCATCGTGTCTTTGTGAGGAAGCCTCCCAAAGAATCCCTAAATGGTGTAGATTTCAGAATTTCCGGGTTGGTAAGCACCCACGTACCAGGGTGGTGCATGCCAACTCCATGGGGTCAGAGCCTCCTGAACTTGGGGCTTGTTCAGCTCTCACCCCCGATGATACCGCTTCAGCTGGCTGTTCATACATTTTGTTCTTATGAACTGGTCACCAGAACCAAGTGTTTCCCTGATTTCTAGGAGCCGTGGAAGCTAACTAGCAAGCCTGAGGTCATGGGCACTCTAGTGTGTAGTTAAATTGGAAAGAAGAGTGGGTAACCTGGAGGCCCACTACTAGTGACTGGCATCCAACCTGGGGTGGGGTGTGCAGTCCTGTGGGCCTGAACCCTTACCCTGTGGGATCTGCTCTAACTCACAGCACCTAGTGTTATAACTCAGTAGTAGATACCCAGTTGGACTCCAGCTAGAAAATCATTTAGTGTGAGGGGGAGAAAACCCCACATAATATAAAAAATGTTTTGAATTTGGATTTTGCTACCCATTATCTGTGTGACCCAGGGCAAATTACTTAAGTATTCCACCAGTTTCCTCAGCCATGAAATGCAGTTACAATGGGAACAAGGCTATGAGACACCAGGGTCAAGACTTATGGGGTCAGTGTGAGGAGCAAAGGAGATACAGTGAAGAATAAATGGGGCTGGGGATTTAGCTCAGTGGTGCCGCCACCTGCCTTGCCAGCGAAAAGTCCTGAGTTCGATCCCCGGTACAAAAAAAGGAATAAATGGCTCGGCCCCTCAACAAAGTAAATACACAATATGTTGGCTTTGATTATCATTTAAATATTCTACACATTATGCTAATACATATTCTAATACAGTATGGAATGTTTAAAAGAATGCATAGAAGAATTATAATGATCTTTTTTAACTTATAGTTAATTCATAGCCTCTTGGGCACCCGTAGTCAGGGAAGTAAATGTGTACGTGAAAAAGCCCAGATTTAAGTCCAGCTAAGGTCCCCAGTAGAAAGAACAATCAGCGAATCCAGTGGTCAAGGAATTATTTAGTAAATCCTCTAGGGTATTTATCAAAACAAAGCTCTTTGTGTAATGCAGGCTTTAGGATAAAATTGTGTGATTTGTGTGATGGGTAACAGGCTCTGGTAAGAACCTTAGGAGCCCAGATTTGAAGGGACCCAACCAAGAGGAACCCATAAAGGGAGGAACAGACAGGAAGACAGGAGGAGAATCAGGGAAAATAGTGTTGCAAAAGACAAACAAGTGTGTCAAGTGTCAAGGAGAAGAGAATTATCTACATGTTCCGAAACAAAGCAGAGGGGCTCAAGTAAGATAAAGACACTGAAGTACCCACTAACAGTGGCCATTGGTGACTTTTGTGAGGATGTTTTCAGGGGAAAGGGAAAGAAGGCAAATAACCACTGGCCAATGAATGAGTATCAGAGAAACTTCAGGCAGCATGTTGATTCCTTCAGGAAGCTTGATGCAAAGAAAAGACACGAAGGATAGGGCAATGTTTGGCTACAGAACCTAAAAAAAATCTAGAGGGAGCCTGACACTAGTGTGGTAAAATATTTACATGTTTAGGCCCAGAAGAAAAAAAACCCAATATCAAAAGTTAAGCTGGAATGTACAGTGAGAGAGGACACACATCCTGAAATAAGGTGCTGGTGGGAATCCCCTCCAGTGATCAGGTGTGGGTGGACGAATAGGTCTCAAATGGAAGATGAAAAGACCTCATTTCCTCCAGCAGGAGAACGAGTGACAGGGCAGACGCAGGTGTAGAACTAGGACGGGGATGCAAAGGAAGTTGGTTGAGTAGGGACTTGAAGACAATGGTGATCACTTGCAGTCATCTTGGAATAGGATGCTGAGGGCTGAGCTAAGACTGAAGACCAGGAATTTTTCATGTATCCGCCAGTGAGCTAGGATGTGGAATTCTCTCTGGGGCCTCAGCAGTCTATGGGGTAGGCATGAAGAAGGTTTGGATGAATTGGGAGATTTTTTTCAAGCTTACCTTGGGTCCCTGGGGTCCAGGAGGACCTTCAGGACCCGGGAATCCTTTCTGGCCTGGAGAACCAGGGGGTCCGGGAAAGCCTTTCTCCCCCTGTTAAAACCAAAACAAGATGAGAAACACAGAGAACAGCAACTATCCAACAACACCCACACTCATGACCATAGTGTTCTCATCTTTATTGCCTTCATGGTAACATTTTGCATAGTTTTTCTTGGATTAAGAAATTACTAAGCAGCACTCTGTAGTCAGTGCATGGGTTTGATACGCCTGTAGGCTTGGTACTTTCTTTAGGGTTGTAGAAACCTGACTTCCCCAAGTAGTAGAGCTGTTCAGGGCAGAGATTAAGGGAAAGGGAATAAGGTGCTGAGGGAAAAGCCCCATCAGAAAAATCAAAGTAGTGGAGTATGCCGACTGAGGGCTGGAGAGTGGGACCCAGTCAGTAGAATGAGTTTTGGGGAGTGTCACTTAGAAGAACACTACCATGTAAGGGCTGGGGATTTGGCTCAGTGGTTCCACAGCTTGCCTTTCAAGCAGAAGGGCCCAAGTTCTATCCCCAGCACCAAACAAATGAACAAAAAAACCACTACCATGCAGTGAGTTTTAGATCTTTCTTGATTACACAAGAATTAGTAATTCAATCCACTGGCTAGGTCTTGAACGGAAGATGACGAGACCTTATCTTCTCCTGCAGGAGACACAGGAGATACTTCAAAGGTAGCACAGCCAAAAGTGTGAGCTAAATAAATTTTTAGAGGGAGTCAGATGGTACTGTGAAAAAGTCTCTGGAATAGTGAACCAGAGTTCATTAGGCCCGGTGATTGACCACATCCCACCAGTAAATAATCTTTCCATGGACACAGACCCTTGGATTACTCCTTAACATTAAGACTACTGGCTGATGTGTGTAACTTCATTATAGAACTGGAAAAAAAATCAAGCCAGCTATTTCATGTTTGTGAGTATGAATGCACACACCTCATAAGAAGTGAGTAAAAAAAAAATTGCTAGAGCCCATCCATACCTAGGTATTTTTTTCATATTCTAGAAATGCAAAGTCCTATCTTGCAAACAGCTGAGAGTCAGTAGTTGCTTAAATGCAAGCTGGATCCATAGAGAGGGTTTTTCCAACGTGAATCTGAACAAACAATCATAGCTTCAGGAAAAACACCTAAGTCAAACTACATATGAAATATAAAATAATTTAAAATAGATATAACAATAATAGTTATAGTTAGCACATAACTTATATGTAAATCTTTTCGTCTAAAGAGCTTGAAATATATTTTCTTAAAATATTTTTACATAGCCTTCAGTATCGTTAAACAATTAGTGTCTATTGTTAAATAATTAGTGTCTCGTAGGAAAGAATTTTGCAAACAAAGGCAAACTTTAATTCTGCCCTCGCCTTTATTATCACAAATTTTAAAAAAGTGAATGGAGCGAATTAATGAGATTTCACAGCATTCCTGTTTTTCTGGAATTCTGCAATGGAGCTAGTGTTTCTATTTCCCTCGAATGAACTTTGGGCTCAACTAGCATGCAACTACAGCACGTTTCCACCAGGGGGAGATCTTGTACCAACACAATGGAAAAACATCCATGGGTTTCAATGTTTATGTCAAAATAAGCAAACCACTTTTTTTTTTTTACTTTTTTAATGTTTAGCAAGATTGTGAATAGTACATTTATAGGTAGAGGGTTCCTACACTTCTTTTTCTGCTAACTTGTTACTGATTCTCTAATAACCAAGAGAGTTAACAATCTAAGTGGCAGTATTTATATAAAATATCTGAGGTTTTCTTTGTGTGTGTGTGTGTGTGTGTGTGTGTGTTTTCTGGTATCTTGTTTTGTTTTCTCTCGGTTTGTTTTTTTTGTTTGTTTGTTTTAATTTATATACAATTACTTAAAATTGGGTTTGGGGAATGGAACAACATACTGATGATCTTTTGAGTGTGAATTACTTGATGCCACTTATAGTGAGAAAATCAGAGTTAAATTTTCTTTTACCTTCTCGCCTTTGGCGCCACCGCAGAAACACTGGCCTTTGTCTGTACAGGCACAGCCCTGGGAGGAAGGAAACAGGAAAGATTCCTTTTAAAACAGCTTCATAGATCGCAGCTGATAGGGCAACAGCAAACAAATTTCTCTGTTCTCTGAGAACCAGGTACTAAAGTGATGTGTGGCAGTACAGCAAAGGAAACAGGCAGAAAAGTAAGGACATGCTGCACTGTAGGAGAAATGTCAGGTGAGTGCACATAATTCTGTGGTACGTGAGGATCATACGTAGTTTATAAACAAGACAGAGTTAGCTTTTTTTTTTTTCCTCCCAGGAAAATAATTGGTTGGACCGTACGATGCTGCCACTGGTATCAGCGCAAAGGGGTCTAATATAGGCAAATTCTTAAGTTCTTGATTTGGCAATGAGCTAGGGGACCCTCGTCCTAGCTAACCAGTCACCGTGACACGTTTACAACCTCATGCTCATCACCTGTCACACACGAACGCTAGAGAAGGTCATCTTCTAGCTTGCGTCTGCCGGTAGAGGAACTAAGAGTAAAATAGCTATAAATCATGAATGTAATGTGTTCTGACATACATGATACGTTCTAGGGTTGTATATTAACCCTTGTCCTAATTTTATTTCTTCAGGTTAACATTAACAGAATTTTAGTTTGCTTTCCTGGGCGGGGGTGGGGGGACTATTAATCAATGGTAGAGGCAGAACAAGTCCAGGAGAGAGGCTGGCTAGTTGATCTGGAAATTTTAAAAATGCCCAGGATATTTCTAAGATAGGGAATTCGGTTTGTGCAAAAAAAATGGGCTCCAAATATTGACTGTATTTCCTTGGACTAGGACAATGTCTTTCCTGCCACTCATAGAAGGGGAATTCATAGTGATTTTCAGACACTCTCCACCGACCCTCACCACATTTGTGCACATTTTAACTTACATGACTGGAAAGTAGTTGACTGGAAGAAAACTATAGTTTCTCACAGTGCTGGTTATTTGATATGTGTAGAAGAATGATGCGTCTAATTTTCATGCCAGGTGTGTGGGGTCATTAAGTCATACTGTGACTTAATCATGCTAACCTGGCCTTTCTGGATTCCTAAACTTCTGTGTGAACATCAGTCACACATTCAAGGACCACGCTGCTAAGGCCGCCATTCTGGAAGCCTGGATTCTCCAGGCCGGCTGCCTCAGCATGGGCTGGACAATTTTCAGGAGAGCAGTCTGGGGCCAGTTCCCTAGTCCTGGAATCAGAAACTCCCGGGTGCTTCTCAGAAATCTGTGGCACCCTGGGGTGCTGGTGCCCGCCTCCTCAGGAGTGGGAACCGCAACAGTCTCTGAAAGGCACAGCCAGTTCTCAGAAGCTTCTGGAACACGATGTCACCTGTGGCATTAATTGGTGTATGCACGTTTTGGTGATGTCATACAGTGGGGCTTATGTGCTCCTTTACTTGGGGGATGCTTCTGTCCCTGGACTCAAACAAAGACCGCTTGAAGACAAGTCTCTCCAGGCTTTTGTTTCTAGAAGTGTGAGTAGGCATGGCTGAGCATGGGCACAGCCCTGAGGCCCACACTGAGGCCTCCATGTTGGGAGAGAAAGCTCGACCTGGCCAGGGCTTGGCGCTCCAGTGCACGTGGAGCCCCTGCTTTTAAATGGACAGCGTATCTCTGATCCTTCAGCCATGCACCACTTGGGACTCTGAGTAACCCAAGGCCAGGGAAGGGAGAGGCAGATTCACAGTCTTTTAATCCCCAAGAAGGGACCAGGTGACAAGGGGCCAAGTTTAGCTTCATCTCTTGGAATCAAAGCCATGTTTGCCAATCATCATTGGAAACTTTTCACTCTTGAACAAATTGTTGGCTGGTTTGCTCCAGACTAAATGGGGCCCCCTTTCTGATGCATTCTCAGGGAGTATTTGCAGTTGTACATTTCAGGCTGTTTTCCCCAATGACTGATGGTCTCAGGAGAGAAGGAATCCTTGCCTTGCTCACATACGTCTCCCTGCCGTGTAATATGCACTGAACAGATGCTTGTGCTTGACAGTTGGCCATTTGTTGGTGTTCAGTTTGGACTTGGAATTTTAAGATATATGAATTCTATGGCTATTTTGGGGTTGGTGTGGTGAAGGTGCATTCTATGTATGAATTACAATTAAGGCAGGAATGGCAAAGCATAAAACTAGAGGCTTTGGCTTGTGTAAAACATTAAAATTGACACAAGACTAATTATTCATTAGTTTCTTTGATTGATGCCATTTTCTGGGAATATAATACAATAAATATTCTTGCATTTAGGTTCACAAATTATTGACATGTTCTCCATTTTTCTTTCTCCCTCTTTTTTCTCTGTATACATACACATACACACACACACACACACATTTTTGCCAAATTATTCAGAAGTAAACTGCAGAAAGCCTGACATTTCACCTCTAATACTTTTGTAACCATCTCCCCAAAACAAGAGTACATTCTTACCCAATTACAGCATTAGTATCAAAATTAACGAATCAACATGCATGCAATGACAGATTACTACTTTTAAATAAGTTCGTCAGCTTTACACAGGTTCATTCCTTAGTGACATAGAACATGAAAAGCTATTTGATGAGCAGCAAATGTTTCATTTTGTGCCTGAGACTTCATCTGAATTAATGCTTGCAACCTTGATTAACACACAAGGCTTCAGCAAGTGGTTCTTATGGTCTCAAGAACATTTAGAACCCACACAGTTAGCATTAGAAGTCAAGTGTGCACGCGTTGTCCCCGTGAGTTCCCTCCTTGCCTTGGGAGTGACTTCCCATCACCACCCACAGAGACTTGACACCCCTTTTTTGTCACACACAGTTTATCCTAGGCTTTCTTCATTATTGTCCCTAAGTTTGGATCTTGCGCTTTCAGGAGTAACATAATCGAGTTTTTGCTTGTATTTTGTTTTCACATTAAAATAGAAGCCCTGTTTGAGTATTCAGTACTAGCTGCTTATTAGTTGAAAAAGTTGGCTAAAATGAAGAAACAAAACAACCCCAAAATGGTGGTGCACGCTTGTCATCTCATCACTGGGGAGACCGAGGCGGAAGGATCTTGAGTTCAAGGTTACCACGGACTACATACTGAGACATTGTTTCAAAAAAAAAAAAATACCAAAACCAAAACCAAAAACCCAAACCCAAACCAAATACAAACAGCGATACGTGAACACTAGACATTTTATTTTAATTTAAAATACAGAAATGGACACTAATCTTCAATCTTGTGCGATAGAGTCTCGGGCTTTTGTCTGAGAATGCATCTGCTTTGTAGAGTTCTACTGTGCCACGCTTGCTAAATTGTACCCACAATGCATCACCCTTAACAACTTCCGGTTGAGTATCCTTGAAATAGGCCAATTGCTTAAAGACACCTGTGGTACTGCTTGAGTATAGAATCTTTCTTGACATTAAATCATATTTTTCTGTAGTGTTTCAAATACTTCCTTAGTTACATCTACCTGCCTAGCGATTTTGTTTCAATTTTGTTTCATCAAGTCTTCCAACACTGTTTTCACAAAAAGTTTTTATGCATTCATATTTAGTCAAGTTGTTATTAATGTTTACTTAAATTGTGTTCCAATAACAAGTGCAACTGGAGAAATTAGAGTAGAAACAATTATGTCTTGGTAATCATCAAACCTGTTAGCAAGGGCCGGGGATTTAGCTCAGTGGTTCCTCTGCCTGCCTTGCAAGAGCAAGGACCTGAGTTCAATCCCCGGTACCAAAAACAAACAAAAAAAAACACCACCTGTTAGCGAGACAGGCTCATGCTGGTGTGCTCGAGAGAAGACCTGGATCTTAGTTGGCCTCTTGCATTGAAAGTGTGGAGAGCTCTAGTCCATCCAACAGTTGGTTAAAGGGAGAATTATCGCGAGATGGCCTACCATACTCTCTTCCCATTGTGTCCATGTTGTTGACCGTGTGTGTGTGTGTGTGTGTGTGTGAAGCCCTGTTTGAGTATTCAGTACTAGCTGCTTATTAGTTGAAAAAGTTGGCTAAAATGAAGAAACAAAACAACCCCAAAATGGTGGTGCACGCTTGTCATCTCATCACTGGGGAGACCGAGGCGGAAGGATCTTGAGTTCAAGGTTACCACGGACTACATACTGAGACATTGTTTCAAAAAAAAAAAAATACCAAAACCAAAACCAAAAACCCAAACCCAAACCAAATACAAACAGCGATACGTGAACACTAGACATTTTATTTTAATTTAAAATACAGAAATGGACACTAATCTTCAATCTTGTGCGATAGAGTCTCGGGCTTTTGTCTGAGAATGCATCTGCTTTGTAGAGTTCTACTGTGCCACGCTTGCTAAATTGTACCCACAATGCATCACCCTTAACAACTTCCGGTTGAGTATCCTTGAAATAGGCCAATTGCTTAAAGACACCTGTGGTACTGCTTGAGTATAGAATCTTTCTTGACATTAAATCATATTTTTCTGTAGTGTTTCAAATACTTCCTTAGTTACATCTACCTGCCTAGCGATTTTGTTTCAATTTTGTTTCATCAAGTCTTCCAACACTGTTTTCACAAAAAGTTTTTATGCATTCATATTTAGTCAAGTTGTTATTAATGTTTACTTAAATTGTGTTCCAATAACAAGTGCAACTGGAGAAATTAGAGTAGAAACAATTATGTCTTGGTAATCATCAAACCTGTTAGCAAGGGCCGGGGATTTAGCTCAGTGGTTCCTCTGCCTGCCTTGCAAGAGCAAGGACCTGAGTTCAATCCCCGGTACCAAAAACAAACAAAAAAAAACACCACCTGTTAGCGAGACAGGCTCATGCTGGTGTGCTCGAGAGAAGACCTGGATCTTAGTTGGCCTCTTGCATTGAAAGTGTGGAGAGCTCTAGTCCATCCAACAGTTGGTTAAAGGGAGAATTATCGCGAGATGGCCTACCATACTCTCTTCCCATTGTGTCCATGTTGTTGACCGTGTGTGTGTGTGTGTGTGTGTGTGTGTGTGTGTGTGTGTGTGGCCTCCCTGTTGACGAGGCTCCACAGCCAGGTCCACAGCTGCTTTTCTACGCCAGGGTTAACACAACTGCTTCCAAATTGTTCCAGCTTTAATTCTCAGTTAAATCGGCAAGGCATGGTCTGCCTGTGCATGTGAATAATTGGGCTGACTAGGATTCCAGGGTACGTGAAAGTTTTGCTGACATGTTGATGCTCTTCCTGAACTGAATGAACTCAAAATTATGGTCAGGGCAGCTCCCTGCTGGATGGTCAGCTGTGGGTGTAGAAACGAACCCCACTTGTGTGATGGAATAGTGGCCCAGGCACTGGGGCTCCTGAAATATAGCACTTCAGTGATTTTGGATGGTGATGAAAAAAGCTCAAAACTTAAGACAGTAAATTCCCTTTATTATGCTTTTTTCTTCAAATACACTTTTTTTAATTTGGAAAAATATGTTTCAATAATCAATATTCAAATAAATTATTTGGCTAAAAGATACAAGGGCCATGTTTTCCTTTACACTGATTTTTATCCACTTTCATGGACCCATTTTTAAAACTTTATGAATACTTTTATGGGATGTAATTCATTAACTACTATTAAACACTAAATCACTTAAAAACCAGTGTGGCCAAAGGCTACAATAGGAAACATAACTGATGAATATTTCTTAAGCAACATTTTTACGACTTCTCCTTTTCCAACCTCTTAGTGTCCTTATATCGCTCCTTAATAGAATAAGAAATCATTTATCATGAACAGGAAGCTCTTAATGATACTGTGGCTCTGCCCCACCTTGAAATTCGGAAATGATCCAAGATTATGTGATATTTCAGCATTTTTTTTGAAAATTAAATAGTTGACCTTATGAGAATTGTTCTCTTAATGGTTGCATTCATGTTGTATAACTTCACTTAGAATGAAAAATAAACTTTCAATGTGGAGAATCTAAGAGGGTTTACAGGTTCAAAAGTCACAGAAATCATGTGTATACGCTATGTGGGTCCACCCATGTAAGATCTACTCCTAGCTTTGGTGAAAACTGACTGGAGCTTTGAGCAGATCAGTTAATCTTTCCACGTTGCCCCACTTGTAAAGGAATATCCTAGGATCTGCCTTACAGTAATTTTGTGAGAAGTTGAAATGCTGTCAAAGGCCACCTGCCGATTGCTGTGCTTTTAGTGGACTAAAACACTGGGGGCATCTCTCTCTACAGGGTCCCACGCCGAAAGACAAATGGGTAGTCAGCCTGGACTAGCCATGTTCTTCCTCCAAGAGTGGAGGGAAGGACTGGAAATTACCTTTTGTCACAGTATAAGCAAACTAACTTGTAACTGTCAACAGTATTTTAACTCTTATGAGCGCAGATGCTAGGTACCAAGTGTATTGTTTAATAAAGTACTGGTTGGAGACCCCAGTGGTAGACAGATGCCATGTCACATACATGACACAAAGAAAGCAAGAGCTTTCAGGGGTGCTGGCCAGTCAGCTATAGCACTCTTCACCTCTACTACCATAGTTCCCACGCATTAACAAGAGTCACCAGCACATCACCTGAGGGCTGCCCACGCATCCCATGTGTCACCTGACATCGTCTTCTGTGGTCTGCAGTGTGCCGTGGGTATGAGAGGCACCAGTTCCAGAAGCAGATTTCCTACATCTAAGTCCCAGCCCTGCCAAATCACTGATGTGACTTTCAGCCATTGCTACTGCCTCAGTTTCCATAGCTGTGAAATGAAGTCCCATCCGTTAACAATGGTAGAGCCTTTAGCAGAATAGTAGTGTATCTAGGATCCTAACTAAGGTCTATGGCTGTGAGCTATTTGGGATTTATTAATTTACCATTGCTAACTAACTGCTCACAAGAGCTTATCACTAGCACTGGTCTACAAGGAGAACAGTGTCTTACATTCCTCCAGCATGGCAGGCAGCAAAAAATTGTCATTTTACTCTTTAAACAAATAAAGGGGCTATTAAACACATGATACTTTTTCAGGTGGTTGAGCCCAGGTCTCTGCACATATTAGACAAGAGCTCTACCACTGAGCCACATCCTTAGCCTTTTTTATTTTATTCTGAGACAGAATTTCCCTAAGCTGTCCATCCTGGCCTCAAACGTGATCCTCCTGCCTCATCCTCCCTATTAGCTAGGATGACAGTACGGACCTCCACGTACAGTTAAGTACACCCATTTTTGTTGTTCAGTAATGGGCCAGAAAATAATTTCCAAAATAATCTTGGTTCTTTCTACACCCAGAACACAATATGTCCTATTTCTGTGCTTGATTGGGAAGCAGAGGTGGCCTCTCCTCTCTCCTCCCCCACACCCAGGCCAGCCCAGTCCAGTGGGAGGGGAAGTTGGCACCATTCACAGATAGTTAACAGCTCACTGAACAGGTCTGTTGATTTTGCATTGTGACTATTGACCCTGCCAGCCATTCTGCCCAGCCAGTCGCCTGAGGCAAAGGTTTTGTGTGGAAAGAAGAGCTGACCACAGCCAAACTGTGCCAGACAGACCCCTTTTGGGGCTGCCTTCACCCATGTCTGCCTTGAGCACTGACCTCCCACCTTGGCAGCTTGCCCTGCAGGGAGGGAGGGGGACACCCATAAGCACATGTCTGCAGGGCCCCTCCTACTTACCCAGAAGTGCCATCCCCGCACTTGGGAATCACACACATCTCACTGCAGCTGTCACTTCCCATCTTTCAGCTCCTGTCCAGGGAGCCATTGCTAGTCTAGACAATCTAAACCAGCCACCCATTTTTGATTTTCTGCATGGCAGTGGGCATGCAGATTACTGGCTCTGACAAAGCAGCTGGCAATCAGAGTTCATTTGGGAATAAACAATATGAGAATGTTTTGCTCGTCCCATGGCAGGGAATGGTATACATCTATAATCACTAATTCCAGATTCTTCCTCTTCTTGTCCCCAAAAGATTTTAAATCCAGGAGAACCGAGAAGCCCCCAACACTTGGGTGAGATGGGGACTCTGCAGGATCCCTCCATGAGAGCACCAGTAGAGGAAATGAACGTTCATCAGTATATAAGAATACCAGTGTTTTTTGAGCACCATATACGGTGCTGTGCTCAGGAGTCTCTTCCTTGTGTTCTATTTTATTCATACCTCCTTCCAGCTGATAGATGAGAAAACCATGACATCAAGAGGCTAGCACACCACGGTAAGAATGAGCTTGGCTCTGAGCACTGGTGATTTGACACAGAGCCACGCTCTCAACCACTGGGGTCCATTTCTTATCAGTAGGTTCTGTGGGCCTCCAAGACATTTCAAGAGGGAGAATATGTACCTCGTCCTGGGCCAAACTGTGCCCTTGTACCTCTGATGATGCATTGTAAAGTCCCAGGGGTAAACATAATATGGTAGTTTATTAAATATGCTGTCTAAACCAGATGCTGACAAACTAGCTTGCAGACTAAAAAAATCCTGAGGCATGTGAATATTATATCCACTTCAAATTTCAATGTCCATAAGTAAAGTTTGTATTTCTCCAAGAGAAAACTTGAGGATATTTTTTCCTCTCTTAGAACATAGGTATCTGTATAACAGCCTTAATTTTGTCTCCTCACTTATGAGGCCTAAAATATTTGCTATTACAGAAAAAGCTTGCTGATTGTTGGCAGAAGCTATCTTGATTACATTTTCTTTCTGTGGCAGTGTGAAAGTTGTGTTTAAAATATTAAGATGGAAACGTAAAGAAGAATTGGCTTTGAGCTCCAGGGAGAGATGGTTCTTCTGCCTAGGACAGCAGGTAGGACTCACTCTTCTTTCCCTTGTGTCCTCTGTTCACTTCCTCTCTTGCACTTTGGTCTAAAGTTGGGAGGCGGGGAGAACAGGCAATGCAATTTGGAGATCAGAAGATCCTAGTACATCATGTAGTTCAAAAGTTCTGTTTTAAACTTCACAGATAAATGAAATTTTAAAAAATTTAGTAGAGATCAACATAGGATTGTCTTGTTTATATTTTTCTAAGTAAGGGTAATTACCACTTCCAAACACAAATCAACCAACCCACACCACCATCTACCAATCCACATCAAACCTATTAGTTCTATAACAAAAGAAAATTACAATAGCACAAAAAGCAAGTAAATTCTCACAAGAATAATATCTGGTCATTTAAAACAGAAACAATTAGTTTTTACTTCACAAACATTTTTCTACGCCATTCTTATTTTTCTCATTCCCTTGATCTGGGGGAAGTCTACACTGGTCAGCACAGGTTAAGACTCTGGGAAGCAGTAAACCAAGCCACAACCACCTCCTCTTGCCTCCTCCAGCCTTTCATGTTGAGTATGCTTTGCTTTTTCACTTACTGCTGCTGAATTTTCTCTCTGAGAGCTAAACTCATATAGTGTTTTGTGTGTTAACGGGTTAATTTTTGGTTAAGTTTAATCGTCAACGTGATTGGCTTGGGATTCACAGGAGGGATTGGTGAAGCACACTTCTGGGTATATCTGAGTGTGTCGCAGAGGTGTGGCCTTGGGTATATATGTGGTCCCTATCCTGTTCCTCTCAAGAACTCTTCCCCTGCTCTGCTTCCAGGTCACCATGAACTGTGCAACTTTTCTCTGCAATGCCTTTCTGCCATGATACTTCTGCCCCCATAGCCTACTGACAGCACACTGAATCTCCTGAACTGTGAGCTCAAGGAAACCTTTCCTTCAGCAAGTTGTAGATATCAGGTAATGTGTCTCAGTGACAGAAAAGCTGACTAATATATTTGGGTGCCACCGGTATATATGGTTGCTGGCTCCTTCCTCTTTGGCACTGTTCCCTCACTCTGTTTCCTTGTTGCTATGAACTGAGCAACTTGGCTCCAGACCATACCCTTTCGCCATGATGTTCCTGACTTGCAGCCAGCTAACCAGGGACTGAATCCTCTAAAACTGTGAGCCGAAGTAAATGTCTGCATAAGTTATGAGTGTCCCATAGTTTGTACAAACAGTGGGAAAGCTGACTAATATGAACTGACACATGTTCCTGGAACCAATAGCTCTTAACACAAAAACTGCTACAAAAGCCCCAAATAGAAAATCCAAATTCCAGGTTGGCAAGTGAAGACACATGTTGAGATATTTGGGGGGCCCTTAGGTTTGCCTACTTGTAGGAATGGTTCTTTCAGAAAATATCCCTGAAAATATTTTTTTAAAGAGTGTGGTTTGTATATAAATCAATCTATCCCCCTTTAAAGGACAATTAGCAAAGGAGCACTTGATGAGACTTTGCTTATTAACCAACAAATGAACCAGTTACTTGAGAGTTTTCTAGACTGCCCTGTAGTATGCTTATTCCTCTCTTGAGCACAAACCTCCCAGCTTCTAAGCCATCTTTAGATCTTGTCCATGTGGAAGATGGACAGATGACTTACATTGCTTTTACAAGCTGTTCCTTGGCTAAATATATGCCAATGGTCAAGAACAATCTTCTTAAAATCTTCTAAAGATCTATATTGTTTAGTTTGGAAAAATTGCTAGGAATTTCTAACAACCTTGTTTTTTAATCACAGAACTATAGGACATTTCAGAAAATATCTATTTGTATCTGTGACTCTTTAAGCATGAAGAAGGGAATGTCCAGATGCTGAGGGTCAGCTGTAAGACAAGTCCACTTTTCCAGTCAGGTGTCTCCTTTAGATTCTAGGGACAATCCAAGCTGCATCATCTGAAAACGTGGACAAGGCTCAAGTAGCAGTGTCTTCCAAATAATAAGCAGGAAAAATGGGCTCGCTTGTGTGGATCAGAGTTAATCCAAAAGGATAGTTGATTAAATAATTTCATGTTTGTGCTGTGCTTTTGAAATATAGAATAACAGGATAGATAAAGAATTTTTAAAAATCAACCCTTGCTGCCTGCTTCACAAGCACTAGGTCCCAAATTTGATACCTGTTGCCCTGCCCCACACAAAATAAAAAGTTAATAATAAAAAAATAAAAATCAACCCACATGGCAATGAAAATAGGTATATCGGTTAATCTTAATTGTCAACTTGACCAGATTAAGAAACTTCTGGAGAGGTGACTGGATTGTTAGGTGTTAAACTCACTGATGGGTTAATCTATTTATGTTAGCTAAATGTACAGTTATGAAGTGGGGCCAAGTTGAAGGGAATGAGTCACCAGGGCCAGGCCTTCAGAGGGTATATCTCTTACTCGTGTCCTTCCCTGTGTCCTGCATCTAGCCACCATGAACTGAGCGGTTTTGCTTCACTATGTGCTTCAGCCATGGCTTTCCTGCCTTGGAGGCAACCATGGACTGAACCCTCTGAAACTGTGAGTCAAATAAACCATTTCTTCTTTCAAATTGTCTATGTTCTCATTTTGTCACAACAAGGGGAAAGCTGACAAGAATAAAAAGTGAGAAAGAAAGAAGTAGAAGAAAACTGTCAATGTTTGGAAGATGGATGGTAAGAGAAGGCTTCAAGTCAGGTGGATCAGCAAGTTTGTGAACAGTTGAATATATTTCCTTTGCTCTGATAAAAGATAAAACATAAAGACAGAAAAGAAAAACTCAAACTCACAAACAAAATAAATATTCCTGGGAGGTAAAAGAGAGAATGGAAACACAGAGTAGTGGAAGGGGCACATGTCACAGGTTGCTGGGCTGAATCTAGAAGCTGATGGTAGTGCCCAGGGATTTGGCTTCTGTGGATAATATCTGGGCTCTGAGCTGAGAAGCCCAATTTTAACCCATTTGAATTTCAGTCTCAAAAGAGGGGACTCCAGAAAGCAGGCACTGGTAGAAGAGAAAGGGGATATAAATACAAAGTGAATTTGGAATATAGGGCTGTAGTAGGAAGGTTCCAAGATGGTACCCAATGATCTCTTGCCCTCATATTCAGGCCATTGTGTAGTCCCTTTCTAAACTGTGTTAGGATTTGCCAGTGTGACTCATAATAGGACAAATGTGAAAATATGCCATATCTGAGACTAGGTCATAAAAAGATCTTGTAGCTTCTGCTGATTCTCTTAGATTTCATGCTTGGGGAAAGCCAGGTGTCATCCCAGCAGCCTTTGCGAGAGTGCCAGGTACTGAGAAACTGAGGCCTCTGGCAACAGTCCTGTGCATTCATGGCCCTACTTACCAGTCCTCCAACACCATACAGGCTTTCACGACTGGAGCCTCACAGACAGCTCCACGCAGCCACATGAGACTTGGATCCCACACCACCCAGCCAGGCTGACTGTTATGGTTTGGATGTAGATGTTCCCCCCAAGACCTTGTGTGGTTATAGGTGACTTTCTCAGAGTTGGCTGAATCTAGAGTGTATGATGCTGGGATTAAAGGCGTGTGATTACTAAATCAGTACATTGATTGGTTTTGTACCACCCTAATCCTGGTAGTCTGGATAAGATAAAAGCACCTTTCTGCTAAGTTTCCCTTGTTGCTTTGTTACCATCTGTCCACTATGAACTGTTACCCTTCTGTCACTCTGCCTTGGAGCCAGTCAATTATGGACTGAAATCTCTATAAACTGTGAGCTAAATAAACCTTTCATCCTTTTAGCTTTGGATGTCAGGTATTTTTGTCTCAGAAATGAGAGTAAAGTAACTAAGCTAGAATTTAGGACCAGAAGTGGGGTCATTGCTGTGACATTATCTGACCATGTGGCTCAACAGCCTTTGCAACTGGCTTGT